GGTGACTATTTCCAGTAGGGCAGGTGTCAGACAGTAGGGAGAGGAGGGGGCAGTGGCACATGGCATGCACCAGCCCAGTTAATAGGTCAACTTGGGCCAACTGTTCTCAGGGTGATGGGCCAGGACAGATGAATTGACTCTTATGTAAAACAGACCATGCGTGGATGTGGGCTACCAATTCCTGTAAGATATGAAACAAGCTTTAAAATCATCTGTGGGCCTGTGGGTTCCCAGGCTCCTACGTTGTGGTTTTTGTCCTAATCCCATGGAATTTAGGGGAGATATACTTTCACAGAATTCCACCTGGGAAAGTTGCTACATGTCTTCTTTCCTCGCTTCGGGTCCCTGCTAATGTGGAAAGACATACAGCCCTGAGACTCCCTGGCACCTTAAAGGGCCAGACTCAAGGACTCTCAGAAGCTCTTCCCTGCGGCTGAGCACGGCTGACAAGCGTCCTGTGATGGGGCTTGTCCTGGTTTGGGCTCTGAATGGAAGCAAGGTGCCTGAGATGCCTCCATAAATGAAAAGCAAGCAAAAGGACACTTTGGACCCAGGGGAGAACAGGAGTAGGGCAACTGGGGTCTTGGAGCAGATTCGAAGTTGCTGCTGTCAGCAGAGCTGTCCTCCCTGCAGGGCTGCGCCGGGCTGGGCGGGCGCTCAGCAGCTGCCGGATGATGGCAGGGCTGACATGGGGACAGAAGTCTTTCCTAGGAGCACAACGCTCAAGTATCCTGAAGAAAAGGGACCTTCCTCATCAGTGTCACCTATGGATAAAACACTGCCGTCCTTAGGTGAGAAATCCAGACTTGGCCCAGAGATGCTGGGTGGCCCCAGTCAGCTAGAAGCTGTGCTGTTTGGGGGACTCCTACAACAAGCTTCCACAAATCAGGTGGCTTGAAACACAACGCACCCCCTCACAGCTCTGTAGCCAGGGGCCCACAGGGCTGAGCTCCCTCCAAATCTCAAGAGGGGCCCCTTCTAGCTCCTGGTGTTCCCCATGTGCCTGGCCTGTGACTGCATGCTTCCATCTCGGTATCTGTTTTCAAACAGCCTGTCCCTGGATCTGTGTGCCTTTTAGTTACTCACATAGACACTCACTGGCTGACGGGCCCCTCCTAACCCAGGACACCTCATCTCCATTCCTTCCTAAATCACACTTGCAAAAAAGATCCTCTTTCCATATAAAGCCACACTCTGAAGTTCTGGTGGACATACACTTCGGAGACCACTGTTCAACCCACCACAGGATCAAGAGGCAGGACTGGAGCAGTCATTAGAGAGGATGCTCTGTCCCCTTTCCCCTTTTGGCAAACAGGAAATGCACAGTGGCCATGTTATGCAAAGGGACACTTACACAGGTGGGGTCAGGGTTTAAGGAAATAAAGCAACAGTGCGGAGGACAAGGGGAGCTCTTGGAACAGGGACAAGTCGTCACTAGGATAGAGCCATCAGGGAGGGGTTGTGGCCTTTGGTGGGCAAATGCTGTCACGAGGAGTGAGCCAGGGCAGAAAGCCCAGCCTACTCTCTTTCCACACCCTGTTCCCCACTTGTGCCTCCTGTTAGCCAAACCCAGCTGGAGCAAAGAGAGCAGAAGCCCCCTTCCCTGCAACCGCTCTTCCGATCTAGTGAGAGATGGATACAGGAGCCCTATAGGGCGAAGAAAGGCCATCTGCATTCTCATGAGATGAGCTAGATCAGAAGATGTGGACCTATCTGTGGACAAATTAGGGGCTCTCATCCTCTCTGGAAGAAACTCCTGCCAAGATCTCAGCTCTCCTTACAGGGCTCAGAGGAGAGCAGAGGAGAGGCAGGAGGTGGGATGGGGGGTGCTCTGAATGGCAATTGCACCTACCAGATAGATTGCTCCTTCCCAGGCAGGAGGCAGGGAGGTCAGGAGGCAGCTGCCTGCCCTGTCCACTGAGTGTGTGGGCAGACATGGAAGCTCCAATTCCCACGCAGAAACAGGACTTGGCCTTAGCCAATACCTGCCCGGCCTCCCTGTTGAAGCAAAAGCAGAGGATCACGTGCAAGGATGGGCAATTAGCACTCCTGAGCAAAATGCAGCCCTTGGCCTGACTGTGTAAATAAAGTTTTATTGGCACACAGCCATGCCCATTGGTTTGTGCTTTGCAGTTGTGGCTTTCCTGTAATGGCAGAGTTCAGCAGTTATCACAGACAGTCATGACAGAGCAAAGCTGAACACACTCCTCGGCTCTTTATAACCCCTGGGTGTAGCATTTAAAATGTCCTTTCATTTGTCTCCTCAACGTCTATAATTTTTTTGGTCAAGTCTGGTTGGTGTAGGGGTGTGGGGTGGAGGACAGGGACT